TCTGATTTGGAGGTTCCCATTCCCCAGCACAGAACGAGGCTTAAACGAACAAAATCTTTCATTCCTCCATCCTCAATGGGGCCCCTTGGGATTTATGGATATCTGCTAGAAAAGAAAGCACCTAGGCCTGGCACATAAGAGGTTTTAACACATGTTTACTGAGGCAAACAGAATTGAAGCCTTCTTGAGCAGCCTTATGGAGCTATGACCAGACAATTTTTTCCTTCTTTTAAAAACATTTTTTTAAAGCAGAGGGTGAGAGAAAGAGAATCCCAAGCAGGCTCCGCACAGTCAGCGCAGAGCCCGATGTGGGACTCGAATTCACAAACCGTGGGATCATGACCTGAGCTGAAATCAAGGGTTGGATGCTTAACCAACTGAATCAGCCCTTTATTATTTAAAAAAATTTTTTTTGTTTTAGCTTTCCTTCCTTTTTTTAAAAAAAAGCAACTTTTTTTTTGAAGTATAATATACACCCAGAAAAGTGCACGTGCATGTGAACAGCTCAATGAATTTCATGAACGGAGCCCACCTAGGGAACCAGGGCCCAGGCCAAGAGACAGCATCGCCTGCACCCCAGGAGACCTTCACTACTCCACAGCAGATTTTAGGTGAGGTTTGTTAGTACTTCTCTACTAGTATGGATGTTCAAACCCTAATCTGGGTGCTAGGTGTTGCAGAGAAGGGGAAGCTGACACATGCATTGTTTTAGTGGCATTTACTTTATTTTCTCTACACTTATTTAAAAATAGATGCTTTATGATTTGATTTAAGTTGCAGAAAATTGAAGTTCACAGTGAGTCTGGATCCCTGGAATCAAGCCCCTTCTCTGTGAAATGTGAATACACTTGTATTAATTGTTGTCCATGAGGTAAATGCTTACCTACGGCGTGAGCTTTGGGAGGAGAAGTGTTCACAGAAACAAAACCCCTGAGTTTGTCAGCCTGTTCTCCCTTGTTTTGGAGGATGCTCAGGGTTGGTCTTCAGCCCTGACCCAGACTGGAGATACTTCATTAGCTATACGTTCTCACGTTGGATTACACGCTGCCAGATGAGGGCAGCTCAGGCTTAGGAATCACCTATAAGGTGGCCGGCATCTAGGGATTCCCAACAGACCTCAAATTAGGGAAGGATGTTGGGCACCATAGCACCATGGGTTGGCAGGGAACGTAGGCTCGGAGGCTACGCCCTGGAGGTAGAGAGAGCATTGCGAATGAGCTCGGACGTGTCAGCTAGCTCTGGGGAAGGGAGAGGATTTGGGATTAAATAGAACAGTGCTTAAAGTGGCCACACTGAGGACAAGTGCCACTTGGATGCCATTGGGGTTCCTTAAGGCACAGGCTGTGGTCTCATTCAGAGCTTGGACACGGCCGAGCACAGCCTGGACGGTGCTTGATAAACCGGTGTGATACGTACACTAACGCTGGGCCAGGCGGCGAAGGCAGAGAGCGCTGACCTTCTCCGTCACAGTCATACTGGTCTGATTTCACCTCCCAGCTGTGTTTTCCTATTCTTGGTCCAATGGGAAGGTTAAAAAAAAAAAAAATCAAAATCTAGGGCCATTCATCTGCCAGCAGCAGGATCAGAGGGTGGGTCGCAAAGTTGAGAGCACCTGGGCCTTTCGAAGCCCTGTATCCTGGGAATATGAACAGGTTTGGGCATTGGCCTTCTCAGCTGCCCTGGGGGATTATAGGGCCAAGACACGGAGTGGAAGCAGCGCACAGACAAGCACAGCACACGGAGCTGGGCATGCAGGAAGGGTCCGACACAAAGTGCCTGTCATCACTGCGAAGGGAGAGGCCAGCTTGCTCCATCGTTGGCCAACAGCCCGTGAGTCGTCCAGTGACCTTTCGTCTGTCTGATTCCCAGTCCATTTTCCACCCAGTAGCACAAATAACATCCTTAAAATGAAACCTTGCTTAAACCTTTCACTGACTTCCCAGCGCACGGAGAATAAAACCCAAACTCCTTTCCATAGACCGAGAGGCCCTGCAGGGTCTGGCTCATGCCTCCCTCTGCGATTTGGTCGCATCAGGCCAGCCACGCTGGGCTTCAGCTAGTGCCACAGACATGCCCAGGTCTCTCCCACCACGGGGCCTGTGTGCATGCTGTCCCCTCTCCCAGGACACAGTCCCCATGGCCCTTTGCACAGATAACGCCTTCCGTGCTTCAGATCAATGCACGGGGAGGGCTCGGCAGGCCACTCCCAGTAAGGGATCTTTCTGCCTCTCTCCCAGCCCTCGACTGTCTCCTCCCCAGAATTCACTGCCACGTGTAATGGTCTCACCTCTTTGTATGATGTCTCATTTACTATTGTATCCTCAGGGCCCAGCATGAGGATGGGCACACAGTGGCCCCCAGCTGACATGTGGTGAATGGAGAAGTGTGTGTGCATTGACACCCTCTCGCTCTAGACTCTCTCACAGTACACACTCTCTGTACACACTCACACAGACACACCCCCCTGAGGGGCTAGCACACGTAGCTCACCCTGCCCATGCTGGGGGCTGCTGGCCCCGAGCCGGGCCGCTGCGGGGATGGGCTCGCCCTCCAGGACCCAGACAGAGTGGGGCCAGAGAGTGTGGTTAACTCAGAGCCCGGCATCAGGGCCAAGCTGTCCCCACCATGGGGATGTGGGTGTGGCAGGCGTGGGGGGCAGTGGCTCAGCACCCTCCCTGTGAGAGCCAGGGAATAAAGGCCCCATTCAGCCCCAGCAGCCTCAGCTCCTCCCTGCCAGGGGAGGCTGCCCTCAGGAAAGGGGATGGTGGGATGCTGAGCAGAGCTTTCCGGCAGCCTCTCCCTGTGGCCTGGCCCACAGCAGGGGCCAGTTGGGGGGTTGGGGGGGCAGGCCAAGGGTACTGGGCCTCCAGGGCACAGAGACACAATAGAAAGGCCCAGCCAGCCCAGGAGGCTGTGGACAGGCAGGAGCAGCCATGGTCCCAAGGGTGATGCTGACAGACACAGTTTACCTCTGACGGCTGTAGTAGAGGAAAGTCCCCAGGGTGTGGAGACCCACTGGAAAACGGCCACATGACCACAGGCCTGGCGGCGCCAGCCAGAGGGAAGTCTGCCTGGCTCCCTCTGGGTGGACACAGTCCCCCAAAGACTGCCTTCCTTGAGCTTTTGCTCTGTTGGCAGAACTGAGCCCAGACAGTCACCTCTCTTCAGCAACCTCCCACCAACGCTCTCTGTGGTTCCCGGCCCTCCTGCGAGGGTGGTGAGAACAATACAAGCAATAGATAATGTGCACCGAGGACTTGGTGTGTGGTAAGCACTGTGCTATGTATTTCTTATCTATTCTTGTATTTGATCTCATGACAACCCATGACCTAGGTACCAAGTACTGCTGCCATTCCCAGTTCATGGATGGGTAAATGGAAGTTTGGAAAAGTGACCTGCTCAAGGCCACAAAAGTAGTAAGTGGCAGAGCTGGAATTCATGTGCCATAGCCTATTTCTTTAAGCCGTCTGGATGTGCCTAGGCTCTTAATGATTTTGCTGTATTCCTTCTTTTCTCTGTACCTTTTCTCTGTGTATCCTCTTGGCCTGCCTTCCCCAAGAGCTATATCTTTTTTTTTTTTAATTTTTTTTAAATGTTTTTATTTATTTCTAGGAGAGAGAGAGAGAGAGAGACAGTGTGAGCAGGGGAGGGTCAGAGAGAGAGGGAGTCACAGACTGAAACAGGCTCCAGGCTCTGAGCCGGCAGTCAGCACTGAGCCCGACGCGGGGCTCGAGCCCACGAACCGCGAGATCATGACCCAAGCGAAAGTCGGACGCTTTACCGACTAAGGCACCCAGGCGCCCCGTAAGAGCTATATCTTAACCCCAGCCCAACCCCATGAGCATGGTCAGCCGGCACCACTTATGCACTTACTGATAATCCAGCCTCCCGAATGCCGGTGCTGCACTGGGGGCTGGGGTGTGACAACACACCGTGCAGACACAGCCCCCACTGTGAGCATTGTGCTGCAGTGTGATCCGTTACAACGGGGACACACAGGAGGGAGGACGGGCCTGAAACGTGGTGGGAATGAGCCAGGGCAAGGGAAGGGGAAAGAATGTTCCAGGAGGGAGGAGCCTGAGCAAATGTCCAGAGATAACAGAAACCAGCTAAAGTAAAGTGAATGTGTTGGGAGGTTACGGATGTGGGTTATGACTGGTACTAGAAGAGACTGGATAGGTGACAAGGGTTTGATCCCACAGACCACACAGAGCAAAGCAGAGCCATTCGAGTTGTACTATTTCAGAAACACCTGAGTTCCTGAACCGTCAAGACCAAGGATCAGAGTTTTTACCTGAGAGGGAGGAGTGGGGGGATACAGGCACCATCAGCCCATTCTGAAGCACTTCTCCTTGAGTCTTAACCCTGAGGGTCAGGGATGGGAGATGGGGACACACTTGGGCCTGGTCACTGGTGGGACACTTACAGCACAAGCTCAAGCCTGTGCTCTCACCAGTGCTGACAGCTACCATAGTCCAAATGGATCCTGGGGTTAAAACCAGGAGACCCTGGAGGAACTCATGTCCAGCCCCCTGACTCTCCGGGGTCAAGGCTGAGCTCAGAAAGGGCCACGGCTTGCTCAACTTCACACAGTGACTTAGCAGCCAGGCTGCGACTCGGCAGGGTAGTTGGCCCAACAGCCTAGTTCTGGGTGGATTTTGTAGCTTTTGTACTTACAGGTTACATTCCCCAGGGCCCCAAACTCAGCTGTCATTTCTAATTTCTATCCCAATCCTAACCCCCCACAAGAGCTGCCACCACTGACACCGTTTCAGAGGAGCCTGTGGTAGTCAGCCTCCAAGGTGGTCTCTGGTGACGTGTACCACAGGGTTCCTCACTTCACACGGTCCCCTCTCATGCCATATAGGGCTGACCTGTGAAGCGGCAGGACACTGGGTCTCCTCCCAGTGGACAGGGTGACTTCCATGACTAGGTCATAAAGGACATCACAGCCCCCTTCTTGTCTTGCTCTGAGATCATTCATGTTGCAGGAAGTTGGCTGCCATGTTGTAAGGACACTCAAGCGTCTCATGGAGAGGTCCATATGGCAAAGACCTGAGCCCTCCTGCCAGCAGCCAGCACCAGTCTGCCAGCCACGTGAACAAGCTGTCTTCCCCAGTAAGTCCCCAGTCACGCTTTGTGCTGACATCTGGACCGCACTTCACAAGAGATGCAGTATCAGAACTATGCAGTTAGGCCATTCCTGAATTCCTGGCCTGCAGAAATTCTGAGATAATAAATGATGGCTATTGTTTTACACTGCTCAGTTGGGAGCAGGAGGGTGTAATTTGTTCCACAGCACTAGATGATGGACCCAGGCCCAGCACTGCTCATGAGAGAGCCCCTGGGTTACCTGAATCAGACAATATTTAGGGCATTCAGGCTGCTTTCTGAGAGAATTGAGCTTTCTTTTCTTTTTCTCTTACTTATATTTACGGTGCGCACATAACAAAACACTACATGATTGCTGGTTTATGTAAGAGCCAGCCTCGCTTGCAAAGAACTTTGTTGGCATTAAGCAAATGCGGGTGTTGAGCTAAAAAGGGCACAGGGGATGAGGCTATGCAGAGAGGCTAGCGCTGCTGGAGAACGATGCATCAGAGCGAGCATGCTTTCTACCCACCGGGATGCACGAGCTCCAGGCAGTTGTCCCAGGCAAACAAAATGCAGTGGGTACAAGGCAGAAATAATGTATGAGGACGAGGAAGGAGTGTACCTAATTCCTGCCAGGCTGCGATACCAGCAGGTAAGAATAAAAACCCCACTTACATTTTAAAGCATTCTAGGCTCAGAAAGAACTCACACACAATCTTATTATATGACCCTTGTTGACTCAAGATAGGCAGTTCTAGTCACATTCAGTCATTCACTCGATAAATTTGTTTAAGCAGCTACTTTATGTACCAGGTAACACTCTAGGCACAGGAGATACAAGGATTTCTTTTCTTTTTTTCTTTTCTTTTCTTTCTTTATTCTTATTTTTAAAAGTTTATTCATTTTGAGAATAAATTTTGAGAGAGACAGAGGATGAGTGGGGGAGGGGCAGAGAGAGAGGGAGACACAGAATCTGAAGCAGGCTCCAGGCTCTGAGCTGTCAGCACAGAGCCTGATGCGGGGCTGGAACTCACAAACCACGAGATTATGACCTGAGCTGAAGTCGGACGCTTAACCAACTGAGCCACTCAGGTACCCCTGTTTCTTTATTTAATAAACATTTATATATATTTACTATGTGTTAGGCACTGGTTTAAGCCCTTTGAAAATATTAACTCACTCCTTAACAACAGCTCAACAAAGTAGATACAGTTATTCTTCCCATTTAACAAGGAGATTGAAGTACACAGCTTAAGTTACTTGGCCAAGGCCAAACAGCTAGCAGGCAGCAACACAGGGATTGACGCTAGACTCCACCCTCTTAACCAAGGTAAGATCAGGCATGGTTCCTGTTCTTCAAAACTCTAGTTTTGAAAATCCCCATGACCACAGAGGAAGAAAGCCCAGAGATACGTTCTGAATTTCCCCAAGCCACAGTGCTGAGCCTAAGAGCTAGGTCTGATTCCAGGCAGCATTACTTTGCTCCACTGCATGTGTCTGTTCACAAAGCAGGTTTAGGAGAAGATGGGTGTGAGGGCAGTGAACAAGGAAGTCGTTTCTAGAGTCCAGAAAGAGACAACATTTTCCTAGGCCCCACTGGCAAGTCTGGAGTATCCCGAGAGACCCCGAAGCGAATGAACAAAGCTCACTCACTGTCCAGGCCGTCATGATTTGTGACTGTCCACTGCCTGCCGGTATTCATGTCTCCAGATATTTTGGGGGCAGTGTTATTTATAGACCACGTTTCTATTTATATTTTCATTGAATTCCTGCTAACCCTAGCTAGATTATCTCCACCCCCACCAAAACCTAGAGAGAGGAGGATAAGAACTCTTTCTTACCAAGTAAGTCAGGGGTTCAAAGGTGAAGGTCAAAGTCTTGGCTGTGTGTGCAGTCTTTCAGCAGGAGCCCTTTGCAGGGAAGCATTCAAGACAAGGGGGCTTTCTGCACTTTCCAGAGGAAACAGGGGGTAGGGGGAAGGGCACAAAGCTGGCCTTATACAGAGGAAGCCATATTCTGCCAATGCAGTGGGATCTGAGGTGAGCCTACAAGCCCTCTGTTTCCCTGAAATGTTTTCTCTTTTGTATGATATTTCGTCATTAGTCATTTATCTATTTGGTCTTAAAAGCTATTAGATCACAAAATATTGAGACTATGAGAAAGCCCAGACAGTATCCAGTCCAATCCTAGTATTTCCCAGATGTGGAAACTCAGACTCAGAAATATCCAGGGCCTGTTCTCATGTATCCATAAGAACACATCTGAATGAATACACTGAAATCTATTACAATGCACAGGAGATCTTTTGGAGGAAGAGCTGTCAGGAACACCACAGTAGGCTCAGAATTCCTCTCACACCAAGTTTTAGGAATGAGCAAGTTAAACCATGTGCTGATTCCTAAGGTTCTATTTGATGCCCCAAATGAAAACTTTCTGGTTTAGGGCCACATTGAGAAATAAAAGTAAAGTAGGATTTCTTTCTTCCTCATTTTTAGTTCTTTGTTGAACTGTGGTTTACTAAACTGTGCTGACTGTTGCTACATGGTTACTTTATAGGTATGTATTTACAAAGCCTGCAATCATTCCCTTCTGGCAACTATGCCTGCAATTCCAGTGTTGGCCACTAGGTGGCTGGCTAAACTTGGGTAGGTTAAGTGAAAGGTAGCAGAAAATAATGTAATCTAGGCAAGGCCTCCACTGTAGGAATGTGACACTTTATTAAGTGTCAAAAAAAGGGCAAAGCTGATCAACCTCTACCTGATAAAATTAAAACCATACAAAACTTGAAATACAGTTTAAAGAAATGCAGACACTCTGGTATAGGTACTATCCTCACCATTTCATATACCAAACCTCCAGGCAATACATCTTTGGTCAAGCTCACTCTGGAGCAAGCACAGCCAGGACATAGAGCATAGTGAGTGGTCAACAGCTTGGAAGTGGAAGGACCTGGGTTTGAATCCCAGCCCTGCCTCTTACTAGTTGAGTGGCTATGGGCAAGTCATGTACCCGTTCCAGCCCATGAAGCCCATTTTCATATATAAAGGGGAGTAGCTATCATTAAATGAGGCAATATAAGCACGTGAAACACTTTGCACGCTATCCGGCTAAAGTATGTACTTAAATGATAGCTATAATGCTTAGGGAGGAATCTTTCCTTTATAATCACTTAATCTGCTAAATGTTCCAAGCTGCACACAGTTTCTCAGGAAGCTTTTTGCAACTTTTCCCCTATAGCCAATTCCATGAAAAGCTATCTCTGGGTCACCTGCTAGGAAGAGAGAACTGCTTTGCCAACCATATAGGCCTTACTTAAGCCATCTTCACCGATTAGCTACTATTAAAGTTGTAAATTCATTTTTCAGATCAGAAAGAAGAAGCTGGGAGTAAAAATCTTGCCAAGCAGAGAAGGCACCAAGTTACCAGTCACTCACTCACCTCAGGCCTCCTCCTCTGGCTCCCTTATTTTGGAGCTTAGGTTTGCAATAATTGTTTTATACAGAAGAACAAAACATGCTCCTTTTAAAAATCAGGGTGTTTTTTGCTTTTTGGTTTTTTGGTCTTAACCCTTTTGCCTGAGACTTCTTAAAAGGGACCCAAGCATTTTCCTGCTCCTAATTGTGCAATATAACTGGACAGATAGACTTTAGACATACTTGTGCCGTGCTATCTTCAAAACTGCAGGAGATCCCAGGCCAGTCTCTCCCTCCCCCAATCCAGACAGACTTCTGAAATAAAAACTCAGCAATTTCTTGGTCCCAAACTTCACGCCATCTTGGAAGAGTGGGGACTTACAGAGTCCTGACTTACAGCTGATGAGGGAGTGTGGCTGGGGTCCAAGTGTCCTCCAGATTAGACTGATGGTGGGGGACAGAGGCTGTGCAGTGACTTATGCCCCCAAGCCACAGGGTGCCAGAAACAGGCGGGCAGCTCAGATCTGCATGTTTGTACCAACTAACCTGTGTGAAGCTTGGGTCAGAAATTAATTCACACAGGCAGGGTCAGTGATTTATATTACATGGATGGACTGAACATAACCATACACCAAGGAAGTCAGACAGCCTACGGAAGGGCTTCCCTGGACCTTAAAACAGTGCTTCTCAAACTTTCCTGTGCATGCCAGCACACCGCAGACCGTGATTTAGTGTGCCTGGGGTGGGGCCAAGCCTGCATTTCTAACAAGCTCTCAGATGATGTTGGTGCTAGTCACCTATGAACCACATTCTGAGCAACAGACCTTGAAATGCACAGGACTGCAGGCAAGACCTCACTCCTGGAAAGGCTCCAAGAGACAGCTCACTCTCTTGTGTCAAGCTCCATACCAACATTCACCAAATCATCACCGTGTATTAAATGCTTACTGTGTGCTTAACAGACACATTTCATTCAATGCTCTCAACAGCCCTGGGGGGATTTCATAGTTGAGGATTCTGAGGAGGTGCAGGGATGCTGAGTAAATCTGGCCCAGGGTCACACAGCTCCTGGGAGGCTGAGCAGGGATTTGACTCCAGCACATCTAGCTGTAAGGCCTCCAGTGCTGAAAGGCGACGCTTACCCGCCTCCACCGCGAAAAAAGCACAGTTTCAAGTTCAGACAGCTAGTGCCAAGTAGAAAGCCCTGGTGTGAATCGTGCATCTCGATCTGTGTGAGCCCAAGGCCAGGTTCAGACCTGTCGGAACCACCATGCTGCTCTAGGGCTGGTAGAGCTGTGGAGTCACACGGCTTCTTTGGCAACACAGCTTTGGAAATTCTCCCTGGGATGTGTCCCGATTTATTCTTGCTAAGGTGAAATCCAGCCCCTCTGCTCTGGCCCGGGGAGAAGCAGACAAGTAACTGTCTCCCTTGGACCCTGCCCCTGATGGGTATAGAGGAACTAGAGCTGCCAGCCAGGCCCACCCGCCCCATGCACTTCCTTCTCAGCCTTATGAAGGACCATTCAGGGAAACAGACTCCATCCTCAGGCCATGCCAGTCCCTCTGGCCCACTGTGGTCTGGAGGCCAGGCGGCCTGGCGTCGGGGGGGCCCTCAGTGGACATCAGCCCTTGGAACTCTGCAGGTGAAGGAGAGGAGGTGTTTTCCAGGCCCAGAGTGACCATACTGCTCGAAGCCAGGGAGCCTCCGGATGAATGGTGCATCAGTTCATAAGTGCCTGGGGACGCTCCAAGGATCAGCTCAATTCCTGCCTGGGAAGAGCTCTGGCCTGGGGCTCTGTCCCTGGGCCTGGGTCCAGTTGGGGTGACCTCGGCAAACAGTGGAAGGGTCGGGCCTGGGACACTGTGGAGATGTGCCACCTCTGAAGAAGGAGGGGCCCTGAGCTCCCTGTCAACGGATCTCAGTGTTCTCCTTCCTCCACCACCACTCACTGACCCTCCTCATACCCTCCACTGAATCTAAGACCCAGAAACCAGAATGTCTAGGGCCCAGAATGCTCCTGGGGAGGGAGGCTGGTGGAAAGCACTTTCACGTGTGCCGAAGGCTTCAGCCATCTCAGAATGGAGGGAGGACATCGTTCCCCTTTGCTCCCAGGGGTCAGGTCCAAGATGGGGGTGTGGGGAGAGTGCTGGGAAGTACTGGGTCTGCCATCTTGGCCAGGGTTGCCCTCAGCAGAACTATGGGCATCATGACTCCACTTCCCTCTCACCCCCAGCCTTCAGCAAGACCTCTTGGATGTTCCTCTAAAACAGGTCTCAGACCGACCTCTCCACAGCATCGTCCAGCCTAGGCCAAGCCGCCCTCATTTCTCACCCGTGCCGCGTCCCCCTCCAGCTGGGCTCCCCGATCCACGCTTGCTCCCTGGCCCTTCCAGACTTGGACACACAGCTGCTGAGGGATCCTTTCAAAACAGAAATCCGATCATGTGGCCCCTCAGCATAAAACCTTTCAGAGACCTTCCACCGCACAGGACAAATCCTCATCCCTTAGCACACCGGTGACAACGGCCCAGGGGCCTGTGTGGCAGCCACACTGAAAGCTCACGCAGCCTCATTGGCCAGGCTTCTCATGGCACTGCCAGGAGCCCAGAACCTTCCTTCTCCTGCCTCAGTTGCCCTCCTGTTCTCATCGCTGTCACACCTGGGCTCAGGGAACTGTGTATTTACTGACAGGGGCCCTCCCAGGCCACAGACCCTCTCTAAGCACAGCGTGAAGGCATCTGACCTCTGTCAAAGAACACTTAGGCATCAGCTAAGGAGAAGATTTATTTTCATGGGGAAAGATGAGGAATGTCACAGCCACCTGAAGTCATTGGCGTCTGGTGATTCTGCCAACATACAGGGCGATCCCTGGCTGCTCTGGTTTAACATCTTCCATCCTGTGCCTCAGTGACTTCACAAGAGAGGCACCTGAACCCAGCATTGGACTCCCAGGTCCAGGCACATTTTACTGCACATGAAATTAAATGGACTGACTGGCCCATGGAAAGAGACACATTTCTGCTTAGATGGGGGGCCTCTTGAGGGAGGTTCCAGTCCGTTCAGGGCTGAGGGTTTGGGGTGGGTATTTAGGAAGCTGATTCCGTTCTGGAGTCATCTCTGGACAAGGAAGACAAGTTGTTAGGAAGTGGCCTGACCCTTTCCCAAAATGCGGGGATGACACAGGGGAATGGCTGAAGGACCTGACCCACAGGTACTTTTGAAAGCCACCTTCCAGTGGCTACCTGCTCTCTGCAAAGCCTCTTATTCCCAGAGAGACCTGGCAGCTCTGGAGCTGAGAGCCTGCGAAGCTGGTGGCCCTGCCGTGTTATCTTGGTGACAGGGCCAGGGCAGCTCAAGCCCCTCCCACCTCTCAGCCCAGATCAGCAGGGTGGGTCGTCAACTCCTCAGAAACCAGCTCCTTACGACCTCAGGTTACCACGGGCAAGGAGCAGCAAGAGCTGCACCGGGGCTGAGAGGCAGTGGGCAGAGCTGAGTCAGCACAGGGCGGGGTGGGGGGAGGGGGGGGAGAGGGTTGTAGAGCAGAGGAGACCCCACAGCTGTGTCCCGCTGCAAAATCATCCAGAGGAGAGGCAGGCACACAGCACCAGACCATCTCTCTTTGAGCTCACATAGCACTTGCTCTGCACTAACTACTTGGAACATCATGGCAAAATATCATTAGCCCATTGGACAGATGAGGAAACTGAGCCTGGAGGCCATGTGCCTGGGCCAGAGTTGCACAGTATATGCAAGCTTATGGCGCGTCTCCTTCCTGGGCAGCTGTGCCATAGGAGACACGTTTTGGAACTTCCTGTTCCCATGGCTCCCGTCTGCCCAGCTCGCTGTGGTGAGTCTGTCCCCTCACATCCCCCACACGCCTCACACACTTCTTGCTGTTCTTCAAACACACGCCCTCAGTTGCACTCTGGTCATTGACCTTGCTGTCCCCTTAGCCTGGCACCCGAAGCCCTGATCTGCCTGTGTCACCTCTGCAAAGAGGCCCTTTTGACCACTAACCTCAGAGGCCCCAAATCACAAGACCTCATTATTTTTCTTCCTGGCACTCATCACTATTGGGAATTGCTCATTTATTTGTTTGCTTTCTGAATCCTCCACTGGAAGGTGAACTTCTCGAGACCAGGGACTGGCCTACCTTGTTCTTAGCTGCATTGAGACCTCCAGCCAGGCCTTGGGACACAGTAGGTGCTCAAGAAATACCTATGGCAGGAATGAACGGATGCAGCTCTTTCTTGTAGCGTTCAGAACCAGTGCCAACAGCAGGCCCTGAGAGCCACCCACCCCAGATTACAGAGTGAGAGAATGACTTGGGGGGTAGGGGCAGTAATTAAGGCGAGAGAGGACTCAGCACTTCCCAGAGGAAAGCCACTTTTATAACAGTACACAGCGCCTCTTAGGCCTATAATCTTGTCCATCTTCTTAAAACCCTAGCATTACCAGCAGACCCTATTTTTCCTTCTCTATCACGTAGAAGGTTTGTCTTCCTGCCACCCAGGTCAGCAGTGAGGCTTAGAAGCCTCTTGGGTCCTCTCCCCGGGGGATGCAGTATCTGCCAGCGTCTGTGGGACGCTATCTCCCTCCTGGCTTCCAAGGCCCTATGGGGAGCGTTCTGTCAGGCTGGTACCCGGTGCAGACACACAGAGCCCAGGGAGAGAGCCCGCTCTACCCTCCGCCATAGCCACGGACCAGCTCTAGCCGAAGACATCCCTTCCCCCTGCTTCCTTCTGTGCTTGAACAAACACCGGATCTGCAGGGCCCTGGGGGGAGGCGGGGGCAGGGAGAGGAAGGCCCCAGAGACCGTGCCTGCAATTCACCCAGCACCCTCCTGCCCCATGGCTCCAAACTGCCTCTTCATTAAGGGGCCGGTATGTAAACTGGTGAGCCAGTACAAAAGAGCCGAGCATGCCTGCTGTCTAAAAATACACCCCTCTAAGCTCAGAAGATAACAAGACTGGCAGCGCCTACTTTGATTATGGCTCATTTTTCTTCCTCAGCTCTCTAGCTTCTCCAGGATACATCAGTCCAGGAGTACTGATGGCTATAGGTGGAACTAACTCAGCTATTAGGAGGAAGGGGCTTTCTAGAAGCTCAGAGGCCCAGT